ATGGTTTTTATTTTTATCTTATTATACTTAATTTTGTTGTGTTAAAACTGTCCCATAGACTTGCCTAGCTAACCAGTTAAATTTGCCATTGCACAGCATAACAATGTTTTAGAAATGTATTGATTAAAAATGAGAAATTAAAAGGAAAATAGTTCTTCTGAAAACAGGGTGGCAGTCGCACATGCGAATTCCCAGCAGTTTTGAAAGCACGCGGAAGACCTGTGCAAACCACGGTAGATCAAATCCCAGCAGGAAGAGGAGAGTCCTACATGAAATACCATTCCTTGCTGAACCACTGTTGTCAGTTTTTGCTGCTGGAAGAAGGTGAGTCACTTTCCTCTAAGCATGGAGTCCCTGGTAAGTCATTCTTGCTCCAGTGAAAGGCCACACAGCCAAGGACAGTTAGGCAACGCTAACTGGAAGTGATAGAAAAACATAGGACACAAAGCTGGGTGGGTAAGTAAATAAGGGGCAGGTGTGGGAGGAGCTGGGGAGTGAATGTGATGAGTATATGTTATATAAAGTTCTCAAAGAACCAATAAAATATTGTAAGAAAAGAAAACAAATGACAACAAGTTCTGGCAAGGATGGCAGCTGACTGTTGGTGGGAGTGCAAAATACTGTATGAAATTTTCCAAACAAACAAACAAACAAACAAACAAAGACAAAGGAGATGTTTTTAGACACCCCAAATTAAATCATTTGATGTAGACACAGGTATTGTGTCACAAAATACAGTCTGGGTAACTATAGTTCCCAAAAGACAGGGAACAGGACTGGAGCCTACCACAGAGGGCCTCTGAAAGACTCCACTGATCAAGGTATTGAAGCAGAGGCTGAGATTGATAGCCAAACTTTGGACAGAATGCATGGAATCTTATGAGAGAAATGGGAGAAAGACCTGAAGGGGACAGGATCTCAAAAAGGAGACCAACAGAGCAAAACAAAACAAAACAAAACAAAACAAAACAACCAAAAAAAAAAAAACCCCAAAAAACCCCCCAAAAAACCTGATCCCTGGGGGCCTTGAAGAGAATGATACCCCAACCAAGGACCTTGCATGGAGAGGACCTAAAACTGGGCTCAGATGTAGACTCAGTCTCCAAGGGGGGTCCCTGGTAAAGGGAACAGGGACTGTTTCTGACATGAACTCAGTGGCAGGCTCTCTGAACACCTTCCCCTGAGAGGTGCAGCCTTGCCAGGACATAGAGGAAGACAATACAGCCAGTCTTGATGATACCTGATAGGCTAGGGTCAGAGGCAAGGGGAGGAGGACCTCCCCTATTAGTGGGCTAGGGAAGGAGAGAAGAGGGAGGGAGGAAGAGATTAGGAGGAGACAAAGAGGGAGGGGGTCAAGGCAGTATACAAGTTGAATAAATTGTAATAAATAATAACAATAAAAAATTAAAGAAGAAAAATATGCCTAGTGTTGAGTGACTTTTTTTCTGGGGAGACTTGAGTGAAGATCTATTCAGCTAGAAAGGACACCCCCAGTACCAACAGAACAGTTCTGTTAGGTTCAGCCTAGCACACCAGTGAGTTTATGGGGCTATACAGGAATACCGTCTCCTCTTACCGAAATGTTTGTCTGTCTCTATAACTTTGGGAGTAGTTTTGTGAACCTTGCAAGTTTCAGGAATTTCGTGACAGTGATTTTTGTTCATGTGCTGAGCCTTATAATCTTATTTCCTGAACTTTAAGAAGCATTTCTCCAGGAAAGGAATGCTTTTATTTGCAGGAAATATCTTCACAGCAGCATATTTTTATTATATAAAAATATTTTTATATGATATATTCTGATCATGGCTTCCTCTCCCCCCTCTCCCAGATCCTCCCCACCTCCACCCATCCAACTTCATGACTTCTTACTCTCTCTTTTTTTTTTTTTTTATAAAACTAACTGGCAAATAAAAAGAAAACGAACCGGAATAAAAAAAATAAAACAGCAAAAAGCACAAGAAACACACACACTCTCTCTCTCCTCCACAAAATTAGAAACCATAAAATTCTAGCAAAAGACCAGTAAGATAAAAACAAATGTCCAAAGCAATATGAGTCAATAAAAATCTACAAAAACACCACTGCGTTTGTTTTGTGTTGGGCATGGAGCCTACCCTTTAGAGTGGTTTATATACTTAGTGAAAGTTCATTGGAGAAAACTGAGAGTTTAACTTCAAACACTGTCTAGTGGAGATAGCTCTTGGGTAGGGATGGGAACTCAAGTCCCCTTTTCTTTCTACATGCTGGGATCCCTTCTGGACTGAACCTGTATAGGCCTGTGCGTGTCAACACAGTTTCTGTGAGTTCATATGTGCATCAGTCCTGTTGTGTCCGTAAGACATTGGTTTTTTGTTTTTGTTTTGTTGGGGTGGTGGTGGTAGGAGTCCTAGACAGAGTTTCTCTGTGTAGCCTTGGAGATCCTGGACTCGCTTTTGTAGACCAGACTGGCCTTGAACTCACAGAGATCTGCCTGCTTCTGCCTCCCAGGAGGTTAGGATTACAGTCCATCATGCGCATTTCTTTGGTGTAGTCCATCTCCTCTGGCTCTTACAAACCTCTTTGCTCACTTGTCCAAGTAGGTTCCTGAGTCCTGAGGAGAAGGCTTTGATGAGGACATTCCATTTAGGTCTGAGTGTTCCTATGTTTCTTGTGAGTCTCATGATGTCCAGGTGTGAGTCTGTATATAAGTTTTCATCTACTGCTAGAAGAAGCTTCTCTAATGATGGCTAAGTGAAACACTGATCTGTGAGTATAAAAGAATGTATAGGAGTCATTTTATTGCTGTGTTCTAGTAGAACAACAGTATTTGGTTTTCCTTTAAGCCCATGTCCTATCCAATCTCAGGTTCTTGGACACAGTGGCATCTTATCCAGCCTCATTTCTTGGACACAGTGGTATCTCACTCCTAGAACAGGGATTGCTTAAGAGCTTTTTCTTGTTGGCCAGGAACCTGGCCACTGACCATAGGGGACATCCTTCCTAAAATCATAACCCACTGTGTTATGTCCTTATGTGTGAATTGCTGTTGTTTGCCATATAATTAGAAGCAAGCTGAGGCTAGGACATAAGTCTTTCCCTCCTGCTGTCATGGCTAGTGCAGGACAGGAGTTGTGTGCTATGAATATGCTGTTGGTAATGGCAGCCTCAGCATCCATCATTGTCTGCTGATATCTCTGAACCTTGAACAGAGTTTGAGCAGCTTTCTCAGTTTTTCATTTACTATAATACTTCAATGTAAATACTTTATTTCTTGCTATTTAGGTATATGTAATTCCACTTCTTTTTACTGAAGAATTGGGAAACTATCAGGTACAGAGTGAGGCAGCTGGCATGCATTCACAGTGCCAATAATGCCAGAAATAAGCTTGGGCCTCTTTGGCCCAGACTTTATCAATCGTTATTTTCTTTAGCTCAAGGTAATTTACTCAATGCTTTAAAAAATAATTTTACTTATATTTTGTTTATTAAGTGTTTTGGTATGCACGTGTGTGATTGTGTGTGTGTATACACATCACTATTGGGTGACTTACTCAATTATTTCTTACATTACTTTGTGAGACAGACTCTCTCACTGTCCCTGGAGTTCAGTGATTAGGTAGAGTGTTAACAGGCAAGCTCTGGAATCCACCTGTCTCCCTCCCCCAACACTGGGCTTCCGGATGCTTTCTGCCATACTTAGCTTTTATGGGAATTGAGGGTGCAAACTCAGGTTCTCCTGGTAAGCACTCTGCACAGGGAGCCATCTTCCCAGCCTGAAAGAGGAGTTACAGTGTGTGTGTGTGTGTGTGTGTGTGTGTGTGTCTCCAAATGAAGTGGAAATGCTCCCTCTGTGTGATTGTAAGTGAGAAACTTTCAAACATTTGGAAACCTCTCTAACTTAGGAAGATAGAATATTTGATGAGCATTTTCTTGAAGCCTTGTCCAACCCTCCATACTACTTTCATATACAGTTATCTTTCTTTTTTTTTTTAAATTATAACCTCATTCAAAATACAACCTGTGATGTTGAGCATAAAAATATCAAATACATTAGTGTTGATTTATTTCACACCTACAACAATAGAACTGTGGGACTTCTTGGTTCTTTTCTCTTCACTTTAAGTATTTTCCTAACAATAATATTAAAGTTCATGTTTTATGAATGCTTTTGTATAATAATGAGTACTGTTCAAGTGTGATTTAGATTATATTCATTTTTCTCCTTATTTTAAAGAAATTGATTAATATAGGGGTTCTAAAAATCACTATGTGCTGTGTCTACTCTTTCTGAGTCTTAATGTCAGTCTAGCCCTTTTTTATGTGTTCCTAATGTGATTTGATGTTTCTGCCAGTGGAAGAAAGAATAGGTTAAGAAAATGTGGCATGCTTCAGCAATTATATTGTTGAGATTTCATGAGTGTGGCGTCCCTGCCATTTTTTAGTCATCATTATTTCACAGTAGGCAGTATAGTCCTCTGGCCCTTACAATATTCCTCTTGCCTCCTCTGCAATGTTCCTTGAGTGTTAGGGTTAGGGATTATGTTTAAGATATACTATTTGAGCCTACTATAGAGCGCCTTCTGAAAGTCTCCACCCAACAGGTGACTGAAGCAGATGCCAAGACTCACAGCCAAACTTCTACCTGAGAGATTGAGTTATTGAGTTATCTAGATTATTCTATGGGTGTATGTGGAAGAAATTTACATCAGCCCTTGCCTTTAATCAGAAAAAAATTATTTATTCTGGAAACAGCAAAGTTACAATGTCAGCATTGTTCCCTGAACTAGGCAGTATGACAGTCTAAATTTTGGGATGACTCTGGTTGCTTGAAATGTTCTAAGTAGAAGACACTTCAGTTATCTTTAGTAAAGTATCAACTTCTATGACATAAAAACACATGCAGCGTTTACATGACAAGGAGAATGAAATGCACTCACATATTCTGACTTCAATAGCAGTATATATTTTTTGTGAGTCACACTTGGCAAAAGAAGAATCTAATTTGTTTCTATCCTTTCCATTCATGAGAATCTTTCTCTACATTTTCTTTGATTCCAGAGTTTTTTCATGGCATTTTTCACCTCTGTGTTTCTGAGAGTGTATACTAAAGGGTTTAACATGGGGGTTACCACAGTGTAGAAGACGGCCACAGCTTTGTCAATGGGGAAGACCACCATGGGCCTAAGGTAAACGAATATGCAGGGTACAAAGAAGAGGATGACCACTGTAATATGGGAGGCACAGGTGGAGAGAGCCTTTTTCTGTTCTTCAGAGCCACGAGTCTTGAGAGAGCAAAGGATGAGAACATAGGAGGTAAGAAGGATAGAAAAGATTAGCATGCACATTAGCCCACTGTTGACAGCAACAAAGAGTCCCAAGACATGGTTGTCAGTGCAGGAGAGTTTCAGGACAGGGAAAAGGTCACAGATGAAATGGTCAATGATATTTGGGCCACAGAAAGGTAACCACACTACAAAGAGAATTTGGATCAGAGCATGAAGAAATCCCCCAGCCCAGGCAATGAAAACCAGGAAGCCACACACTCTCCTGTTCATTGTGATCATGTAGTGTAGGGGCTTACAGATGGCAACATAGCGGTCATAGGCCATGGCTGTGAGCAGGATGATGGCAACTCCACCAAAGAAATGTTCTGCAAAGATCTGAGTCATGCAGCCATTAAAAGAGATAGTTTTCTTTTCAGCAAGGCAATCAAAAATCATTTTGGGGGCCATAGTGGAGGAACAGCAGCCATCCACAAAGGATAAGAAGGACAGAAAAAAATACATGGGGGATCCCAGTGTTGGGCTAGAGATGACTGTTGCAATAATGAGTAGATTACCAACAAGTGTAAGAGAGTAGATGAGTACAAATAGCGCAAACAAGAGTTTCTGCACATCTGGGTTCTGGGTCAGGCCAAGCAGGATGAATTCTGTTACATTGTTCATTTGTTTCATGAATCTGGTTTAAGATTTGTATAATTGACTAATCTGTGAATAGCAAGACAATTGAAATTTTTGTTGACAAATATTGAACAGACAAAAAAAATTTCCTTCATATATTTTTCACTGTAACACAGATGGGGATTCCAAGCAGCAAACCCCATTTCAAAGATGCTTAAATTTGGACCATGTGATTGGTTAAATAATGAACATGTCCTCTGCTCTCTCACAGTTGGACACACACACACACACACACACACACACACACACGCATACACACACACAACCTTACTCAAAACCCTAGGAAAACCTACGGTGAAGAGAACAGAATACACAACATGATGCAACATAATTTTGCACAGTTATTGGAAAATTTACATCTCATTATTTCAAGATTTCAGTCATATTTAGATTTTTGTGGCATTTTACACATAAATTTACAATTTAATAAAGATAATTTACTACAACAAAATTACTTTTGAGTTAAGGAAACAAAAGCTCCATGATTACTCTAAAATTAGATGAACTATTGTGCCTCTACAAATTATACTCTTCAATTTGTCACTTACCAAATAGAGGGAATAACAAATCATATGGTGGAGTTAATGAATACCTTTATAACATTTATCAAACATTAAATATTTTTCATTCATATGTGTGTGTTGTATGTATATGTTTATATGGGCGTGTGTGTATGTTTGCATATGTTTTTCTGTGGATGGAAGGTCAGAGGTCAATGTCAGGTGTCTTCCTCAATTGTCCTCCACCTTTTTGTTTGAGATTAAGATATTCACACTGATCCTGGAACTCACAATCAGCTAGACTGGCAGGCCCCCTTCCTGGTCTGCAGTTTCCCAGTGATGTTATTTCAGACAGGTATTGACATGACCCGATTTTCAAAGGTAGTAGGATCAACCATCAGGTTCTTCCATGCTTGTACAATTGCCTTACACTTTGAGCCATCTTCTCATCCCAAAACATAGCTTTCCACACACTTGAGATTTTTGGTAAGAAAAATAAACAAAATATATATTGTTATTTGTACTTTCAAAATATGTACTTTAATATTAATCAGAGTTAAATGGATAACTCAATTCAAGACATGAGAAAATAACTATATTCATAAAATAGCTAAATGCAGAAATAAATGTGTTTAGCCATAGAAAATTTGTAATTTTTTGGTACTTTAAAAATACAAGCAAAACAAACCAAGTAATCCAATTAAAAATGGGGAACAGAGCTAAATAGAGAATTCATAATAGAGGAATATCGAATGGCAGAGAAACACTTAAAGAAATGTTCAACATCCTTAGTCATCAGGGAAATGCAAAATCAAAATGACCCTGAGATTTCACCTTACACACATCAGAATGGCTAAGATCAAAATCTCACGTGGCAACACATGCTGGAGAGGATTCAGAGAAAGGGGAACCCTTCTCCATTGCTGGTGGGAATGTAAACTGGTACAACCACTTTGGAATTCAATCTGGCGCTTTCTCAGAAAAATAGAAACAGTGCTACCTCAAGATCCAGCTACACCACTCATAGGCATATATCCAAAATATGTGCAACTATTTAACAAGTATGTGCAAACCATTTAATGTTTGTAGCAGCTTTATTTGTAATAGCCAGAATCTGGAAACAACCTAGTTGTCCCTCAACTGAGGAATGGATACAGAAATTGTGGTACATTTACACAATGGAATATTACTCAGCAATTAAAAACAAGGAAATCATGACTTTTGCAGGCAAATGGTGAGAACTAGAAAAGATCATTCTGAGTGAGGTAACCCAGAAGCAGAAAGACACACATGGGATATATAGTATCCACTTATAAAAGTGGATACTAGATATATAATATAGAATAAACATACTAAAATCTATGCTCCTAAAGAAGATAAACAACAAGGAAGACCTAGAGAAGATGCTCAATCTTCATTCAGAAGGACAAACACGATAGACATCATGGAGAAGAAGAGGAAGACAAGGAACAGGACAGAAGCCTACTACAGAAGGCCTATGAAAGACTCTACTGATCAAGGTATTGAAGCAGAGGCTGAGACTCATAGCCAAACTGTGGGCAGAGTGCAGGGAATCTCATTGAAGAAGGGAAAGATAGAAAGACCAGGAGGGGACTGGAGCTCCAAAAGGAGACCAAGAGAACCATAAAAACTGAGGCCTGGGGGCACTGAGGAGAATAATACTCCAACCAAGGACAATGCATGGAGAAGACCTAAATCCCTGGCTCAGATGTAGCCCATAGTCTCCAAGTGGGGTCCCTATTAAGGAGACAGAGACTTTCTCTGGCGTGAACTCAGTGGCTGGCTCTCTGACCACCTCCCAGTTGGGGGTGCAGACTTGCCAGTCCACAGAGGAAGATAATTTAGCCAGTCCTGATGAGACCTGATAGGCTAGAGTCAGATAGAAAGGGAGGAGGTCCTCACCTATCAGTGGACTAGGAGGGACATAGGGGAGAAGAGGGAGGCAGGGTGGGATTGGGCAGAGACTAGAGATGGGGCCATAGCTGGTATACAAAGTGAACAAATTGTAATAAACGATAATAAAATTTAAAAAATTAAAAAATATAAGCAAACTAATGAACTCAGGTGAACACAGCAAGAAAACAAATATGTCTTAGTGACAAGAGAATATTATTTTTCAAGAACCTGTTTCAAGAAGATTTTCAGTAATTAGGCAGGTACCTTTCAAAAAAGTTTTTTTTTTCTTCACTGCTACCAAGAAGGGGAAAATAAAACATAAACCATTTGAAAAGTAGAAAAATATCTGTAAATAAATGTGTATTTACATATATACATATACACAAGTATCAAACAAACATATATGAGTAGAGAAGACAATTTTAAGTGAAAATGCAATAGTGGAAGACGTAGGAATAATGGTCATATACTGGAACTATTTGCAACAAGCTTAATGGGTGTTATTTTTTAAATAGATTTTTAAAAGAAATTAAAATGGTTACTTGCAGCATTATAAACATAAGGAAAATCGTTCTCAGAAAAGGCATCCAATACCTAAAAAAATTACTTTATCTCATAAGTCACAAAAATGCAAATCAAAAACAGTGAAATACTTTTTTTTTTTCTGAGAGGGTTTCTCTGTGCATCCTTGGCTGTCCTAGACTCACTTTGCAGACCAGGCTGGCCTCTAAGTCACAGAGATCCACCTGCCTCTGCCTCCCCAAATGCTGGGATAACAGGCGTGTGATAATACTTAAATCAGTAAACTGACAAAGATTTCTTAGATTTGCATTATACAGTGTTGATAAAGTTGTTGATATCTTCCTATATCTGACGCCATAGAAGCAGGCATGTATCATTGATTATTACCTTAATCTATTACTCCTTGGATTGTGAGTGTACTCAAGAGAAATAAGGAAAGAATTATGCTTACAGGTATATCAAAGCTCATCTTCATGGTAATGAAAAGGAATGGACAACTTTAATGTCTAAGAAGGAGGAAAAATTGAATGATTTAGATTTATAAAATGTCAAGTGGGCATTAAAATGGTTTGCAAGAAGAATTAATGATTTTGAAAAACTAACATATGAGTGGGAAACACAGAATATAAAATAGTTCATATTATTTCAAAAACTAAACATACATAGAAAAAGTATTTCAAGAAAATCATACAAAATACTAGTAATGCATGCCTGAATTGTGGAGTTTAGGACAATTTTTGTGTCAACAAAAATTCTAACCTGAGTTTTGTAAAAAGGGAATATATTACCATTACAATCAATAAAATAGTTTAATGAAAGAACCTTCACTTTAACCATCAGTTTTGAAGCCATTGTATCTGGAGTGATCTTTTAAAGGTTGATTACAATGTTATAAACACATGTCTAAGTCTCTCTTGTCTGAATTTATTACACTACTCAGAAGAAAATTATCCAGGCAGGCACAGGCTTGCAATCGGAGTACTAGAGAAACTGAGGTTTGGGGATGTGGGTTCAGGAGCAGCCTGGCTCACATAAAGAGACAACAAATCCACGTATACAGAAAGTGCAGGCTGTACCCACCTCTCTGAATGCGTTTGGGGTCAACAGATTCCGTCCATGGCAAGTCAGTTTATTTGCAGAAATCAGTTCCCATGGAGTTGGCATTCACTGACCCCTCACGAGCTGCTTCCTCCCAGGTGTGCTCATTTTTCTTTAAATGTATTTATTTTCCTCATCAGTGACTACAAAGGATTTGTGAATAAAACTGAGTGAACGGGTCAGAGTTTTTCTTCTCTCAAAGGTTTATAACCCTGTGAATGTGAGGAATAAACATTCCAAGATAGAAAATAAAACAAAGTCAGCCTCAAAATATTAGTTTTCAAAAAGAAAAGAAAAAAGAACCTGATGGGCTAAAACACTACAACCATCAAAATACATCTTTCTCTAAGCTACGTTCTGTGCATCTGCCCGGATGACTAGGTAAAACAGCATACTAACACTGAATTTGAGATCTCATATCATAGAAAACCCCCCAACTAGCAAAGAGCATGAATATGGAAAAGTTAGGGTTTTTTAATCTCTACGAGAGCAGCCCCACATGAACATTCCCTTGGAGTCGTAGGTGCTGAGCCTTTCTCTAAGTAAGTGCGTGCACAGCCCAGGGACACCTTCTTTGATTCCCGAAACTTTAGATTCAAATAGGCTGGAAACCAGAACACTGTGGCTTTTTATGCTCATGTGATTTTTGAATCCCAAGACTCTGTCCCTAACTGAATTTTCAGGAGTGGATTCAGTAAACTGTTTAGTAGACTTTAAACAAATATGAGAGGTCAGGGATGCTCCAATGTCTTAGCTCCCAGAGGTCCAGAATTAGCTTCTATAGCCAAGATGGCATCTAAACCAGCATAAGTCTGTTCTCTCTCTTGTGACCATGACATCTGTGACCAAAAGTTTGGGAAAGAGCCAGCTAGGCTCAGCTAGTAGCTTCTCTATGGTTGTGGGAATGATCTTAGCGCCTGAGACCTAAAGCACAGAATAGAATAGTTTTGGACAGAG